TGCAATCATTGCAACGACAATAAGATGAAATCGCTTGCAAAAGTAACTTTTTCGATTAAAATCGCTCGCAATTGCAAAAAAATATTATCGCTAATATTCACAAGAATGATGTGTATTGGAACAAAAATAATTTGTATTTATTTTTAGGTTTTCGAAAGCGTTTGACAAAACAAAATCAATCCATTTTTCCCAAAGATGTTACGTGGAAATGAACAAACATAGTTGGTGAGAATAGTATTTGCGATTGAAGAAATGCCACTTCTTAGTGTTCGTTGTTGGAAAACGTTTTGTTTTTCCAGATCAAAAAGTGGACAGATCTGAGTATTCAAAAATGATAAAAATTTCGAAATTCCTTTCGCACACAGTAAGCGTTCCAATTTGGAAAGGAAAACTTATAAGCTAACGCACAGGATAAGTTGGAAGGGACTGAAAATAGCGCGATGTTTGATGAATAATATTAAGCGACGAAACTATCGAAGACATTTTTCTGAGCATAAGTCCAAAAATTCAGAATCTGTGATGCAGTATAAAGAATAGTCATNTTAATAACTCGATATTTTGACAAAAATAACCTTTTTTATTGAAATTTTTTCGCAAAAAATAGAATTTCTCCATTGATGAACACATTTTCGGCTCACCTTTTCACCCGTCAAATACGGTATGAATTCAACAATGAAAACATTCGCGACCAATGCGAAATAATTGTTCTGCTGAGAGTTTTGGTTCTCTCCGAGGAACGGTTGTTTGGTGTGCGCACGTCCGGTTTTACGCACCAGTTGCCATGCACCCAAAAGATTTTCCGTATAACCGAGCATATTTGTGACCTGCAATTTCGTTGCTCACTTCTCTGCTCACCTGAGGTCTAACTTCAGCTTTATTATGCTAGCACCCTGAAGTGTGTTTCGCGTAACATGATATATGGATATATTGAAATTTATGTTGTAGTTTGTTGTGATGAAAAATGTCTTATACTATGTTTTGAAACACTAAAATTTCCCTTAAAAATCTATTGTGAACATTGCTTGAGACAGTTTTTGCTATCATAAAAGTATTGATTTCCAGTGATGTGGAATAAATTTTAAGCCATGATTATTACGGTCACAAGAGATCATGTTAAATAGACGATGTGTTTTGATCAAGCCAAATGCATAATAGTAAAAAAAA